ACAACTAACTTTTGAAATCCTTTCATGTAATTAATAAATTATATAACATCTGTGTACAGTAATAAAAAAATTGTATTCAGTGTATATGTCTTGTAATTAAATCAAAAGAATAAAAAAAAAAATAAAAAAAACGATAATATATATATCTTTTTGCATGCATAAAATTAAACAACTAACTACCTTTCATGTAATCAACAAATCACATAATGTCTACAGTTCACTCTTCTATAATGAACTCCTCTTTTGTCTCTCATTCATTTCTTTGTAATCAACTTCCCTCTATAATGAAACTTCCCTTTTCATTTTTTTATAATTAATTAATTTTTCTTGATAATGAACATCCTAGTAACCACTCTCTATAACAAACAAAGGCATTTGAATCAATAATTAAAAATATTATATGTTTTGTAATTGTATATTTTTATTTTTTTCAAAATAAAAAAATAAAATTTTTGCGCACCTTGATAAATTTATATATAAAATTTGAAATCTTTAATTCATAATGAGATCTTGCAGTTTGCGGGATTAACGGGATTATTTTTAACCAAAATAAAGTTTCCAACAAAAGGTATATTATTGTAAAGTATTTTTTGGGTTTTACAATTATTTTTGATCATGTTATTTACGACCATGTTTTTCTATTTTAAATAATTGAATTCGAACGGTCACACAATATAAAAAAGATCGCCAATCGATTTTGTCACATGTGACAAATTCAAATGTCTGCTATGCTCTGAAATTCGCATTTTTCCATTATAGGGTACATTGGAGTTTAGTGTTCCATGTTGCAATCAAAAAAGGAAACAAAATGGTTGTAAAGGTGGTTGCAATCATTTTTATATGATGCAAAGGTGATAGCAACCATCATCAAAAGTTGCAGCTGGTATCCTTAAATTGGTTTGGACCAGACTGGACTTATTGGACTGGGACTAGACTTTATTTGGACTTTGTCATACAAAGATAAAAATTTCTCACAAATAATTACTGTAAAGAATGTAATCAATCACACATGACTTATTACTCTTTCAATGCCTCAAGAAAGTAACCAATATAAAAAATACTTACATGTTTTATCTGATAAACCAAATGGTTATAATCATTTGGGTATCTGCATTGCTTGTAAGAGCTCTAATATAAATATCAATGAATTGAAAATAACTTTAACTAAAAAACTTGTCATAATCATTTGGTGAATTGTAAATTTTTTCAAAATAATTTTTCAAATGAAGAAGAATGGTTAAATTTGGTCGCTGATAATGATACAGAAACTACAATTGAAAATGAACTTTTTAATAATGGTGAAGGTTTTATTAATACATCATCTAAAGAAATAAATAATTTACAAAATCTTTCTACTCCAAATAAAAAAAGACTTGGGTATGAATTTTAGTGTATTTATTTATTAAAAAAGAATATGATAACAATAATAACTTTATTTAAATATCATTAAATAGAAAGTCCAACATAAAAAATATTCAATTATATCTATAAAAGGTGATGATGTGAAAAAATTGATTTTTATTGATCATTGTTAATTTAAATGCTGAAATATGATTGGCTGGCTACCCCTTAGAATTGGTCCAGAGTCCAAGTCCAATTGCCAACACTGCTATGGAATGATTATTACAGTCAGGATTATTACCAAATATGGAATTTCTAAATATTGTAATGATAGACAATCTAGAAATCTTTAGAAAAAAAAAAACAAAATAAGAATGATTGGCTATATTTATGCAGATCTTTTCTTTGAATAATAATTAAAGTAAGATTTTGATAGGTTGCAGTGAGTTTGTGTAATCATCACATTACACAAGCATCAGTGTAATACATTATGATTATTAATTATATTCAATTTTTTACAAAGCATATTTTCTTTTGCAGCATTGTTAGTTTTTGCAACCCATCAATGCACACAGCCTCCAATCTTTTATACTCCTCCAAAACTGCACTGGAAATTTTTTAATTGAGAATAATCAACATCAGGAAATTAATTTAGCGTAAACTTGCATAAATCTTACGATGCCGACGTAATATTGTGTAAATCTTACAGTGCCGACGTAAGTTTTACACTTTTTTATTATTAAACTTACAATTGACACGTGTAAAATTTTTTTATATTTTCCAGATGAAGATCAAGGATTCGCAGTTGTTCCAATGAGAGAGCTCAACTCATTGCAACATACACTTGTCCTTTGGCAAACATACTTTCATCAGCATTCAATGTTACATGTGGCAAGGTCAATCCTTGAGTTTTATGAACAGTCAGAGCAAATGCATTCTGAAGAGGAATTGATTCCTTGATGCTCTCTTACCATAAAATTCAAAATAAGATGTTTCTCTTTGAATGATAACCTTGCTTATGTAGGAAGGGTCACCTTGACATTCTCTTCATCATAAATTTTTGTCACTATCCCAATAGTTACATTGCATATTTTTTTATCAAATAGCTTATTATTAACACATGAACCTTCTTGTAAATACATATGTAAACTCAATAAGTTGGTCATGTGGGGGAGAGCTCATATGACCAACTTATTGAGTAAACTGACTTATCAAATTAAATTACTTAAATATTAAGAAAATGGGGTGAAAATTTTGGCTGACTTATCAAGTAAACCAACTTATCAAGTGACCAACTTATTGAGTTTACATATGTACAATTTATAAGGCAAGTTTGTTAAGTTTTTGAATTGAACAATTGAGTGATCATCATTTGATATTTCAAATTCCAGTGTGTCTATGCATTCAGAAACCATTGGATCATTGCATGTTTCATCAAAAGGGAGGTGATTAAAGAATATTGCATTGAGGGATTGTAGCTGCTTTTTGAGTGCCAACCACATGAGTGGTATCATAGAAACTACAAAGGTCAGTTTCTTGGTTAATTTTTGTTTGGATTATTTGCTTGCTTCTAACTGACAAATTTCCTGTTCTTATCTCTTGAAGAATTCAACATCATTTATCTGCCTTTGTGGTGTAGTTAAGAATAATGGGAAAAAAATTTTCCAAATTGGTGATCTAAATACTTGAGAAGGATGGACTGGAGAGAGTTGAGCTAGGTCTCCTATGACAAGTGTTGGTATTCCTCCAAAGATAAGATTGTTTTTATGAATTTTAGCAAAGATGTTGCTAACAAACATGAAAAGATCACCATCAACCATTGACACTTCTCCAATTATGAATGCCTCAATCTTTTTTAATTCTGTTACATCTGCAGGATTGGAAAGGGCTAATGTTTCATAACTTCCCTTCCAAAATCTTATTTTTAAGGATGAATATATAGTTTTTCCATCAATGTTTTGGGCTGCAATGCCAGTGGGAACTACCAATAGGTATTTTTTATTCTTTGATTGGAGGAAATTAATTATTTGCCTGGTCATAAAAGTTCTGCCAGTTCCAGCAAAGCCAGTTAAAAAAAAGTAAGGATATTTTCCATCTGATCTCCTATTCTAACTGTTACATAAAATGTTATATGTTTTATACTGTTCATTCTGAATTGTAACATACATATTTGACTCCCTCTTCCATAACATATCTCCCAACTAGGGTGACAATTGAATGCTTGGAAAAATTCAACACATTGTTTGCCTTGTCATAATATCCTTTGAAGCTAATCTTTCTAAAAACATTGTCATTTCTATAAATAGCAGTTCTGCTGATTGTTCCTTCAGTGGAAGTTATGTGTTTAATGAAACAATTGGCAACAAAAAATAGAACACATGTTATTTTATTATTATTATTATTTTTTAATTATTATTTGTTATTTATTTATTGTTTATTATTATTTTTGTTTATTTTTTACGATTTATGATTCAAACCCTACTGCTATTTTTTATATTGATGAAGATTTCCTTCGTCACAATAAGCAACAGGGGACTTTTTTCAAAAAAACTTCATTCAATTCCTTCAACAATAACATTTTTTTCACATTTCAAAAAAAGGCATGGTTTGATGTTTTAATTAAATTAAAAATTGAATTAATTTCGAATCATTACATTTTTTTCTTCACATTTTCAAAAAAGGCATGGTCGTTTTTAATATTAGAGATAATATTTTAATAAAATTGTTACATTTTCCAAAAAGGCAAGAATCTTTTCAAAAAAAAACTTGATTTCTTCAAAATTTTTTTTAAATAATAAATGAATTTCAAATTGTTTTTTTAGTGGCAATGCTATTACTAAATCAATAATGGATTAATTTCTTGCTGGTATTTTAGTAGCAGGAGAGGATCTTTTTCAAAAAAAGCTTATTTAACAGCACATTTTTGGAAAAGGCTTGATTTTAATCAAGTGGTTTCTTTTTTTTTTTTTTACTTATAAATACAACCTCTGAACATTTTAAAAAAATTTGGGAGAATGATCATGATAATGATCAATTTTATGAAACAAAAATTTTCCTTTTCTTTCGAAAATTTCCAAAGAGAGATAGTATCGTTGCCAATTCTTTCTATATAAATATTGCCAATCTTTTCTAAATTGTTACAAAGTATGTTGCACTGATTTGGGTTGAGTTGTATTCTTTCGTTAAAATAAATTAATAATATTAATCAGATATGGAAAATCCTAAAAAAAGATCAATTGGAACATCTGAAAAAACAATTAAAAAATTAAGCATAATTAATTACGACAGTAGCGACAATGATGAGGAAGAAAAAATAAATATTAGTAAAGATAAAGAAAAAAATCAAAGAGCCAAAAAGGTAAAATTTAATAGTAATGTTGACATTAAAGAAATTGTTACCAACAAACCTATAAATGTTGATAAAAATATAACAACTTCAAATAAAAAGTTACAACAATCACAAGAAGTGTCAATGAAAGGCAAAGAACCGGAGAAGATAGAGGAAGAAAAATCAGAAAAAAATAATTTACCCACAGATTTTTTTGATGATCCGACTATGAATAACAACAACAATAATAATAGTATTGGGAGCAGTAATAGTTTGAAAGGTTCAATATCAACAACACAGGAGAAGTCATCTAATCAAGTTGATGAACAAGAATGGGTTAAATTTCAAAAACTTATAAGCAAAGAAACTCAATTAAGTGATCAAATAGCTAATGCAGATGATGAAGAATTACAAAAAGATAGAGATGAGATGCAAGAAAGAGAACAAGAAGGTTTTATTAAAAGGTTAGAACGATTAAAAGAGTTTGCTAATAATGTTCGTAAATCCCGTGAAAGTAAAATGATGATTACTACAAAATCGAAAAATCAAAATGTTGATGAGGACGTGGACGTGGGTGAAGAAGAAGATGATAAGGATGAAGTATATGAGGATGAATGGATGGATTGGAGAGCACAAAAGGTTTTATAAATGGAAATAGAAATAGAAATTAAATTTACAAATTTGTCAAAAGCTAGTTTTTAATAGAAAAATCTGATTCTTTGATGAATCATTATAATAATTATTATTTTTCAGCATTAAAAATATAAATTTATTATTTAATATATATACAATTCACCTATTAAAATTAATAAAAAACCAATAATATAGTGATCATCGACTTTACATTCATAAATAAATAATATCTTTGTCAAGAATTGAGAATCTTTTTTGATTTGTTATCATCATCTTTTCCTTTTTCATTATCCATATTTTGATTTCAAACCTATCTCTATGGGAAAGACAAAATCAAACATTTTTTAAACTGGTAATAGCTATTTTTGTTATAGCTAACAAGTAGATTAAACAAATTAATCCAAATCAGAGTAAGTCTTGATTCTCAAAAATTGATATCCATCAACCATATCAATGATGGTAAAGCTACCTTCATGAAGTTAGGTTTAGAAGTTAATAAATGTGTATATGATTTATAATCTTCTGATGACGAATGCGATTCGTCTTTGAGTAATGCCAGTTGTTTCTCAATTTACCAAAGCTGGATACACTATCATTGCTGAATCAACGTCTATATGTATTCTAGCTATTATATATATTATATAAATAAAATTAAATTTTTCTTACTTCCAAGAAAATCATTTTCAATAACGTATAAGTTTTGTAAAGCCACCCCACAGAATAATCAACAAACTTATGAATGAAAAAGAAGCTTTGAAAAGAAGTTCCATAATCGACTTTGACAAATTATGAACTAATTTATTGTTATTATAAATTTAAATAATAATACAAGTATTAATGATCAAGTAATTAGATATACATATAATAATTAAATTTACATACATCCATACAATTTCAAGTGCTGAACACATATTAAATATTGGTACTACATAAACAATAAACCATCATTCTTTATGTCCAAGAATAAAATCACAAAATTATCATTGGTAAGAAAAATTCAGGAGTATGTTGATCCATAAATATCAAAAGTATACTTAACGGTAAAGATAATAGTAGAAGACATGGGAGAAATAAATGTGAAAAGGCGAAACCTTTTGATAAGTTTTTGGTAGAAAAAAAATTATATCAAATATATATAGTTTTTATAAAAAACTATATTACTCCCCGGTCCACACTTTTTCCCAATATTACATTGAAATGAAATACAAAAAATTCTGGCCACATAAATGTTTGCCAAAAGTATGTCCATAAAGTCACACTTTTGGGACACAAAAACCTGTGGCTGTGTAGAGGCGTGATCTTATGGAGGCTGATGGTTTTTAATCCTGTAATTGCTGATCTCATATGACATTTATTATCTGTCATTTATAAAGACAATTACAAAAATAATTAGCATCACTTTTTTGTTGTTCAAAATAACTAAGAAAGGTATTCAAAGATATTTGTGCTTCCTTATCATTGATTTGAAGTGACTCTTCATCATGTTTCTCTGGTTTCATCATTATTAGTGGTGACCATTTGAATTATTTGTTCTTCTGTAAGTAATTCACTTGTATATGGATTTTGAGTATGATTTAAATAGTCATGCCATCAATAATCTCATTAACCAAAGAATCAACAATTTCAAATTCTTGATTTTTGTTCAATTCAAAAGTTTCTAAAACAACACCATTTGTAGGAACTGGTAAAATTTGTGGTTTAAGCCAACAATTATAAATAATAGTAGTTTTTACTTTCATCCCATGCCTCAGCTATAAATTCAATTGCTGTTTTAAGGTTGAGATTTTCTCTAATAAATATTCAATACTTAATGAAAATATCAATTTGTATCATTAAAGATTTTTATACTTGTAAATATCTTTTCCATTATCACAATACAGATTTTTATATTTGACCTTTATTCAATTTGCAAAATCCTTTCCATTTAATTTAATTAATATATCTGTCAAGACTAATCTTGAATTAATTGTCTGAAACATCCAAATAGATAAAGTTGTTTGAAGTTCATGTGTTTTTGAAAATTTATTTCCAATTATTTGAGAATTGACATTATCATCTATTTATGATATAAACATATTTCTTTTCTTATTTTATTGTTGATTATAGCTTTCTTTTCCTTTGGCATTCTTTTAAAAAATGTGACTTTTGGTAAATATGCAGAAATAGAAATAATTCATTGGAACAAAATTTTTTTGCTGATTATTAATCACGTGGTGTGACCTTGCAGAGATCAAATTAATATACTTGGAATCAAAAAAAGTACGACAGTGACTATAAGTGAAATGTGCCCTTACAGGGAGGGCGTGACCTTATGTAGATCTGACTGTATATACGTTAGTTAATATACTTATGAATATACGAGTTATATGTAGTAATAACTAAATATTGGTTATCTACCTATCTAAATAAACGGGAATGGAAGTAGTTGACTGATCAAGTAATTCGTATAAACCCAAGTTTCTAATTGATAATTCCAATATGTACTAAGATCAAGAAAATAGCATCGAAACCTCAAAATGAAATATTACTGCTGTAAAATTAAATAATGGATCATTGAAGAAGACATATGTTTTTTCATTTCAAATAACTAGCTACAGCAAAAGCCACGAAGGGGCGATTTAAAATTTATCACGTGTAAAAATTTTAGCCAATAAAATTCAAGAAAATCATTGTGATACGAGCGGACTAAGAGTTTTAGCCAATAAAATTTAAGAAAAATTATTGTGATACAAGTTTAAATAAAAAATCTAAATTATTCATTCCCCGACTTCTAAATAAATCGTTTATTGCAATTATTTTTTTAAAAAATGATCGCAGATCCCATTTTTGGTAAGTCAATAATAGTTTGATGTCTTTCCTGTCATCCATCCACTGTATAATAAATAGGCCAACTTATTGCACTCAATATTAAAGAGCCAATAAAGATTCTAGGAACAGCTCCAGGAAATTCAAAATGATCACACTTATATATATATATATATATATATTAATATAAAATAAAAAATATCAACCCCATATTCCAAATATCATGTGTTGCTTGAATATTAAAACTTTCGTAAAAGGACATAAAAATATTACCAACTTGTCCATATTAATATGAACGACGCTTGACCCCTGAAAGTCTGTGACTAATATATTAATAAACAGACAGACCCATCCATATTAATTATAAAGTTTTACAAAATATATACTTTAAACAATCATATTAATAAAACAATAATAGGTTTTTTGATGATTATTCATGGATATATATACATAATGCGAATCTTTCTATTAATACTAAAATTAATGAAAATTTTAAAGTTATAACGATGATGATGATGATAATAACGGACTCACTTTTTTAATAAATATGAATTTTACATACAATTTGTCAGTATAACCGACCTTACTATACTATTACTATGTATATAATACTGAAATTGGTGTATATTTCTATCGTGGATCACGAATTAATATCAAAAGAAAAAAAATTGCTTTTTTTAATTTTACTTTTAGCTGGTGAGGGATCTTATCGAGTCATTCAAAATTAACTGTGATTACAATAATTACATCCTTTCTTCTTCGCTGCAATTTGTTTTCTTTAATTAAGTTACATCATACTCTAGATTTTTATGGTGGAAAGAACTAGATCCGATTCTTGATTTCACATGATATGCCTTATCAACACGGATAATTAACAATAAATAATGTTTAAATCAGAAGTTCGGTAAGCTTGTCATACATATATATACATTCTATGCATGAATTAATTATTATGAATGATCGACATATCAACATTTAGAACGCAATAACATTTCATTTTAAATTCTGACACGTAAAAAGTAGTAATATAAAAAACACATGTATAAATAAAAAAGCTTAAACTTTGGATTTTTCCCCCATTCATATTCTTAAAAAATAATAAAAAACAAATAAAAAAAACTTTTTTCCTAAAGGTGACTGGGCTAACGAAAAGATAATAATAATTTAGACATGTCAATTCCAAAATCCTCCTCACCAGCCAACTTTAACATAAATAATGATAACACTCGAGAAGAAACTACTCCAAGAAACACTTTAAATAATATTTATAACTACAACTACTCTCCGCCACCTTCTGATGAACTAAGACAACAACAACAAGCATTGCAAATCAACAACACGCCAGAATATATTATTAGTAGCCCACAACTATTCCTGTCGATTAAACATATAAGTCCACCTGGTACAAATTCACCATCTTACTCACCCGTCTCAAATTCATCCTACTCTCCTTACTACTTCCATCACTCAACTACAACATCCACATCACCATTTCCCATTCGTTGTCAATGTCTTCTTTGTGTAGAAGCTAGTACCAGTGGTGGTGATGATAGTAATCGTAGTAGTAATTATTGTCAAACTGGTGAATTTTCTGATTATTCAGATTATGGTAATAATAATAATAATTATAGTCATAGAAGATATAATGAATCAATGGATGATAATTATAATTATAATAGTGACAATGATTATAATAATAATGAGAATAATTATCAAGAAGAGGAGAAGGAGAAAATTTCAAGTTCACTATATAAATCACAAGAAAGTACACTACTAGTTTATCATCACCATGATATTAATGACAGATCATCATCATTGGGAGCTTTCTCACCTATAAATATGGGAGGAATTAGTCCAGTTAATATATATGAGTCACCAATGGCTGCTAATGGAAATTCATCATCATCCTCTTCCCCTCCTTCATATAAACAACAGCAACAACAACACTTATCATCAACAGTATCATCACATCCTTTAGTAAGAGAAGTAAAATATAATAATCGATTTTTCAATTCTTTTTATAATAGAAATGGCAAAGAAGAAGAAGAAGAAGGTGAAATTAATCATAGTGTTAATATCAATAGGAGTAGTGTTGTTAATAAAATTTATAATGATAATAAATGTGAAGATGAGGGTGAATGTGATATAATGTTAAAATCACCATCAAAACGATTAAGATTTTCTAATTAGGATTTAGAATATATTGTATCAAAATAATAAAATTTTTTAAATCATGAATTAGGCAAGTATAGGATGGGAATAATAATATATATTTATATGATTTCTTAAAAGTGGATAACAATAAGTAAGGAAAGGGAAAAATAGAAAAATCTTGTTTAGCATAATGATAATATGTTTTTTTTTTTTTACAAAATAAATAAGTATATATCTATTCTAGCTGTTGTCCTTGTCCATGTGATGCTATTATTTTTCTTTCAACATTACAACTTTTGGTTTTCATAATAATAATGTATCTTCCAACATTTCATACAAAATCATCATCATCATATTATTATTATTATAATAATAACTGTAATAACCATTTTTTGTTAAATCTTTGAGTAATTTTATATTCTATAATTTTTGGTAAATGTAAGCTGATATAACATTCAAATTTGATATGTTAGTAGTAAATTATCATTATAATAATCATCAGGATTCCTTATCTACATTATTCCTATTTATAGGAAAGATTGTAATGTTCTTGAAAATAAAAATATTTATTTATTTAAAATAAATATATTTTACATCATTAATTTATTCTATAAATCATTATTTATTATTCTCCCAAGAACCAATATTATAATCTTCTTGTTTTTTTGGGGCGACAACCATTGAATGGAGTTGGAGTTGAATCAGTTACTCTTTTAATACTCCATTCATTTTCAGCTGAGGCAATAGCTTTGAATGCAGCTTCTCTACCGGCACCAAAGCCTTTAAGAAATATTTCTGCATTTCTAACTTTAATTTTTTTTTCTTTGATTGCATTGATGACAGCTGAAGCAGTTTGATGAGCTGCTTCATAGCCACCACGTTGAGCTTTTTTAAAGCCTACAATTCCACTTGATTTTGTAATTAATGAATCACCACGAGAATTTGCTAATGTGATGATGGTGTTGTTATAACCTGAATGTATATGAAAATTATAAGTAACTTGATCAGCAGTAGAAAAAATGTCTGATATAATTCTTACTACTCCAGTTTGAGTTTCTTTATTTAAACTTTGTAATTTTTTATCTTTATCTGTTATTAATTTGTCTATCAATGAGAATCCATTCTTATCATCTTCATAATGTTGCTCAATTAGATTTGAAGGAGATGAAGAAACATCATCATCTAATTTCTTCTTAGTTGATCTACCTTTAGAAGTCATCATTTTATTATCATTTTTTTTTAATAATTCTTTAGAAGGTGCTTCGTCAAAAAAATTTATCATTTCATCAAATATCGGTACTGGATCTGGTTTAATATAATTTTTTGCATCTTCATTTAAACGCTTTAAAACATCAAAATTGTAATCATTATCATCGTTCTTGTTATCACTGTTGTTATTATCATTGTTGTTATTGTTATTAGATTGTGAAGAAATTGAAAAAGTTTGCTTAAAAATAAATTGTGAATAATTTATTGACGATTTAAGTTCTTGAGAAATGATATTTCTTAAAAACATTTTTCAATATAAGTCACACACACACATATAAAGATAATCAATTCGCACATCTTTTTTATCTAAAAATGTTTCCGCCTTTGTCAAAATATCAAATATCTAAATTAACTTATACACCAACCTTTCAACATGTTAGAAAACCGTTTATACGGTACAGGACATCTTAATTCAAAATTCCGACCAGGGTAAAAAATATTAATACACTTCTATTATAAAAAAATTTTAGTTTTGCACAATTTTTATGTCAAAAAAATTTTGAACCGTCCATTGTTGTTTATAGATGTCCTGCCTGCACCAAATTAAATTTAAATAAAATGTTTAAGCTTCAAAATTTACATGCTTAAGAGTGGTATTTTAAGCAAAGATTTTGAATAGGAATTTATGATCAGATGACATTGTCAACTATAATTTTGAATTTAAACTTTTTTATTATACTAAAGATTTAACCAACAAAAAATAAATCACCAAGAAAGTTCACATTCTTTTCATATTCTTTAGCAACTTTACCTACAGCTCCAAAATCTAGACTGTATTCTTTCACAGCAAATCCTTGATCCGTTGGTTAATATATTATATGGATAATTTCCACAATCGTCCAATAAACTTCATAAATGATTTGGTCCAAATCTAATTCAGATTTATACCATGGTTTTGTAAGTCAAAAAATATTTACTCAGTGCAATAATTGCATTTGGCTTTTCCATCTACAACTGTGAAATGGTTCCCACTTATTGAACACATTGCACTGTGCCTGTTGAAAGAGACATCATATATTTATTATTATGTTAATATGTAGAGTTTTGTATTATTCGAATAAAAGCCCTATTAATATGACATTAAAAGAAATTTACGAATCTAGTTTGATTCGAATCAAATCGAATCGAGTCACAAATCGAACCGAACCGAACCACTTTAAAATTCCACTCATTTCGATTTGTTCGGAGCTTTAGTCTCCACATTTCCAAAGAAAAAAGATGTGAAATCTAGATATATACGTTGTGCATGAAAGATATTAATAAATATTATTATTGTTGTCATTATTAGTATTATTATTGTAGGTGGATATTGTTCAATGCATTTAATAGCAGTTATAGAAATTGTGATAAAGTAATATTATTATTATAAAGACAAAAAAAAGTTGAAATTTGGAAAAATCGTACAAAATTGTAGCTTAGCAATTAGCGTTACTAGATGACACTTACATCATTACCACAACCACCACCACAACCTCAATCATCTTCCTCTTCACAATCATTACCATCATCGTCGTCATCAACCGTCACCAAATGTAACAACTATCATATCTCTTGCTCTCCCTAATCTTCATATTCTCATCCCCTTGAATGCTCAAAATTATGCCAGTTATGTTAATTGGCTGTACAGGGATAATTTTCATATGTCCGGAGTAGCATAGAAGATATTGTTAGTAATCTCACAATAATTTATAAATCAATGTTATCTATTTGATCAATTTTTTTTTATTACTGTAACTTTCCCAATAAATCTTGAAGAGGTCTACATTTTATTAACTGTTTTTTTTTTAATAAACAAATAATTTAAAGATCTAATAAATTATATTTACAGAAAAAATAAAATAATTAAATAAATAAAAACTCTAAAATTCTAGAAGTATATTTTTTTATCAAATTAATCCTATAAATACAAAAATAACCAATTCTATAAATACAAAAATAATATACACATGTATCAAAGAAACAGGTCTTCCACGCCGTTGCTAAGTCGCTAATAATTTTACATAGCTAAATTGTGTTATTGTGGAAATAATCCGTGTACTTGAAGCCGATATAAACAAGTAAATTTTGGATTCTCGTGATTGTTTAAAATTTTCATGATTATTGCTTGAATACGTTTATTGTTGGTTCTTGCAATTGATTCTGGTAAATGGAATAATTGTAAAGGTTTTCCCGTTAAGTCATATTGATATTGACCCAAAAAAATGTTGAAATCTTTATTTTTTAAAACTTTTTTGTTGAATAATTTAAATTTTTTGTCAGTTGCAGTAGTTTTTGTCTTTGAATCATTATCACTAAAAAGTTCTTTATTGTCTATTTCATCATAATTATTACCAACACCAGTACCAATATCATCGTCATCATCATCAGAAGGCAATCCCCATAATTCGAAATTTTTTGGGGCAGAGCTAATTGGATCAATCGATACATTTTTGCCAATGTGATGTAATGCCACATGTGTGAAAATGATATTTCTTGACAGCTCTATGGCAATTTGACCTTTTGTTCCGTTAAAACACCAACACTCACCAACATTAATGTTTGGTTTGATGACCACATCAGGCTCACGACTTTTTACAAGATTACGATGTGTGAAGTAACCCCATATTCTTTGATGCATTTTTGTTGGCCATTCTTCGTAAACTCTTGATGTCAATTTATTTATTATTTGTGCACCACTTGTATACAAAGCATAGTCAGTACTTGATCCATGTATAATTTTTGTTAATTGATCTTCCAATAGCTAATTAATAATATTATTAATTAGTTATTAAATATTAAACAATTAATTATTTATCCATTTATTAATTAATTACCTCTGATATTTGCATCCTGACTAAGCCAATGAAATCATTAGGTCTTGCTTTACCTTTATTAATATTGCCATGATTAATCAAATCTGGTGATCTTTTTGAAATTTCTTCTTCGACATATCTTAAAACTTGTTCTTTTACTTTGCCACGTAGTTGAACAGAATTTAATTTGTGATGTTGATTAGTCAGCCGCTGGTCATTAACAACATCTTTAAACCCAAAATTATACGTCATTATTAACAATAATGCCATAATTAAAAGATGCTTTCCCATTCCCAAGTTTTTTAAATTATACAAACAATTAGGAAAACCTAATCTGCTAATAATATTTTCGAAATGGTATTGAATATCTCCAAGAATTATTATAATTAATGACTCTTGCTTTCCTCTAGTACCATCAATATCACCAAAATCTTGACCGTCACTATTAATACCGTCATCGGTATTAATATCCTCATCACTATTATTATCATCGTCATTGTCGGTATACTCATCACTACTGTTAATAGAGCTATTTATACTACTACCAACACCACCACAAATACCGTCGACATTATTATTAAAATTTTCATTTGCTATATTACTATTGCTATCATCGTCATTATGAATTATAATTTGAGAGTCAACAAAACGATAATGCAATGAATTATTTGGATTTTTATTGCTATCATCAATAATTGTCATAATTGATAATTGCATCGAATCCATTATTTTTGCAACTTCTACTCCAGCAGCAATTAATTGGTCTTTATATTTTTTGAATAATTTTCTTTTCATTATATAATACATAACATCTTGTAAAGCTTCGAAATTATTAACCAACCAATATTCTTGTAAATTACTGTTGTAAAGATTTTGACGAATTTCTAGTACAGATAAATTTACACCAAGCAGTTTTCGTGCATCCCCTTGTATACGCACTACAGAACTTTGAAAAGCATCTTCAATTTGGGCCGATGTTGGGAAAACAGGATATAACCAACGTCTTAGACTTGTTTGACTACGAGTAATTGGTGACATTTGTTTCTATTTTATTTTAAATATTTTTTGTTTTGAAAATAATTAATTTTGAAGTGACAATACAAATATTTGTGTGCGTGTGTAAGTTGTGAAATAATTAAAATAATTGATTTTTCCCTTCAATCTATCAAAAAAAAAATTTTTTTTTATGTGTCGTAGCACAATCAAAAGTTAATATTACTAATATTACTATTAATTTAAAGTCATGCATGCCCACTCACTTTTTTCTATCTGCTGAAATTTCCCTTGATGATCTTTACGCAAATGAGGTCATAAAAATTCGTAATCGTGTAACATCATTTTTTTAAAAAATTATACTATATATATTTTTTAAAAATCTTAACAAATGACAGATATGATGGTATATTTTTTTTAAATAGTCTGTCATTTCAACCAAAGTAATCATAGTAATCATTTTAATAACTTTTACTTTTTTATAGTATAGTGGTATACATGATTTTCAAGATACATATCGTTGTTATCCTGTAGATGATAAAAGATTAAATGTATACTATGGTGGCAAAAGTAAGTTTGTTTTTACTACTTCTTTGGTTGGATTAATTAATTTGTTTAATTAATGTAAATTTTGTTAAATATTATTATGAATCAATAGTTATTTTACCACCTTCAGCGTTAGCAAAATTGTGTAAGTAAACTAAATAATATTGCTATTGTTATTATTATTAATTTTTAAATTCTGAAACTTTTTTATTGGTACTGGCAAAAAAAAAAAATATAGCAAGTTTACATATAGTTTATCCGATGTTATTTAGACTTCACAATAAAAAAATCAATAAACATTCACATGCAGGAGTACTCGAATTTATTGCACCAGAAGGGCATGTGTATTTACCTCAATGGGTAAAAATTAGTTTTAATTTCAGCAATTAAGAATGATTACGTTTTACACCTGTTTATATGTATATATTTATATTTCTGATAGCTGATGGAAACACTTTCATTGGAAACGGGAGATTTGGTTGATATTAAGAATGCTACATTACCATTAGGAAAATTTGTTAAAATTCAACCACAAACTGAAAATTTTTTGGATATAACTGACCAAAAGGCCGTGTAACTATCCTACTATTTTTTTTCAAGAAGGAAAATTCAATTTTTTTCGAAGAGAGAAACGAAAGAAATTAATTATGATAATATTTTTTTAGATTGGAAAATGCATTTAGAAATTTTTCAACATTAACTCAAGAAGATTATATTCAAATATATTATAATAAAAAAACTTATAAAATTAAAGTTTTGGAAGTTAAATCTGAAGATGGTAAAGCCAATGGAATATCAATTTTGGAAACTGATTTGGAGGTAAACTAAATCTATATGCATGTACATATAATACATGTGCGTATGAATATTACGTGTATACATGTCTATATATATATGTCATTTAACCAATCAATTAATTAATATTACAGGTTGATTTTGCACCACCACCAGGATATAAAGAAAAGAAAGAATCTCAACAAAAAAATTCTACTATGGTACAAATATATTTTTTGCTTCTGTATTAAAAAAAAGAATAAAATAATGGTTTAAATATTTGTTTAAATAATTAAAGGTGGATAAATTGAAGATAGAACAATCACAAGATGAATCAAGAGGATTTTCTGCATTTCAAGGCAGTGGACAAAATCTAAAAGGAACCGTTAAAGCCTCCTCTTCCTCTTCTTCCGCATTTCCATCATCATCATCGTCATCATCATCATCACCATCAGCCGTCGCATCTAGTTCCAAAAGGTTTGTGTTTATTTGATTATTATTATAACAAGATAATTTATATATTGATATATTGATTGCCACTAACAATTATTATCAGTGTTGAGAAGGTGAGTAACGTACAACAAAATGAATCAGATAATGCGCCGGCACCTTTGAGAATGCCATTTGGAAAATTATTTTTTGGATATAAAGTTGTTCCTTTTAAATCACCAAAGGATAAAATAACGGAAGAAGTATGTTGTTTTGTAAAATTATAAGTTGTAAAACATAAGTTGAATTGTTCAATAATTATGAGAAATTGCGGAATAATTAATTAATTATTTTTTTATACAGCCGGTTTTGAAATTTCCTGGGGAAGGTAATAAATTAAAAAAAATAAATTGATTGAATAATAATAAAATACGCAACAAATATCAGCTATTAATAGTGAAGTCGCTATTGATACAACATAATAATAGTAATTATTAGATCAAGAATGTTTATTAAAATCTTTCAATGTTATCAATATTGAGTATGCATAATATTTACACATCAGAATTTTGCAGACGAAGCAACACTATTGCTATTTGTATTGGAAGAACGCGATTTTTAAAATGATTTCTAACTTGTAGCTTTTTGTTTGTAAAAGTATGTTTGTGAGTTCTTTTGCGTCTAAGCTTTCATAGCACCCAATGCAAACAGCATATGTGTTGCATTTATTTTGTTTGCCTAATATTTTAATATATCTTGTCATAATCAAATTTTTCGAAAATCAATTTATTCAAGAATATTTGAATATATTAATATTAATATATAATTTATTTCGAATATTTCGAATATTTGGATATTCGCAATTATTTTGGATATTCGTATTTCATAATTATTTTGGATATTCATAATCATTTCAAACATAATTACAAATATTAAAATAATTTCTAATTACTTAATTTTCAAGTATGAGTGGTTTAACTGATTTAATATTAGAAGATATGCCAATTCATGTTTATGAAGGATATCTAACAACCCATTCGAAAACCTTTTCATCTATTCTGCCATTACCACCGAATAATTCATCAACCACCAGTCAAAGAAATCGTGATAAGAAAGGTAGCCACGTGAGACTTCACTTAGTGACGATGGAAGTGTAAGAACATGCCAAGTTCAAGTAAAAGTGTCTCCTCAAACCCAAATGGAATGTTGGTTTTTTCTTTTATAATAAATATAATTTAGTAGGTATGCTGTAATTTGTTAAGCATTTACAAAATTTATTAAAATTATGAAGTTTGAAGTATTCGAAGTATTTGAAATTAATACAACAAGTATTTGAAATAGTTGTGAATATTCGAAATAGACAGAAGTATTTTAAATGATTACAAGTTTACGAATATCTGAAACAATTACGAATATCCAAAATATATTCGAATAGTAAGTAATAGTAGTAATAGTAATAGTATATAATAGTAATAGTAGTAATAGTAGTAATAGGGAGGGGGTTAAGATTATGGTTAGGGTCCCTAGTCAGATGACGGTTTTTTGGCTTTGACATATTAATTAGTATTTATTTCTAGAATTTTCCCTCCGCAGGTAACAGAATAGACTTTATTATTATGGAAATAACACTGAAAATAATTTACAAATTAGTATTATTTTCAATATGGGCTTATCTTGTTTCCTGGGTCATCACAAGCGCTTCATATCATCATCAATAGTAATGATGATGAACTTCTTCATTATTTACCAATCGGATTCTAACATAATATCCTTTTACCTATCGCATACATCCTGATCCATTATTGAATGTTCGTTGTGTTGTTGTTACGGAATTCATGTAAATCTGACCAAAAACTTCTTTTAAGAGGAAATTTTTTGGATCCATATTTTGTTGTTGTTGTAATCCATAAGATACAATATAACTATAAATTCTTTATTATCACATGAAATATCTGTAATGACAACATGGTTTTGGTGTTAACATTTAGTTTTAATATCGAGTGCAATTATTATAAAATTAATGGCGAGTTCAGCTTATAGCAAAGAATGGGGAGTTTTTAGAAAGATTGATTGCATCATATTGTATAGATACATTTTAAGTGCATTCATTATCTACTATTTCATCTATAAATTCCACTACTCACCATTTCTGTTTTCCAAGGCTGATGCGTAAACCTAGATGAGACACTTTGTATGTTAACTAAATTGGGATTTTACGCCAGCATCCCTGCTTTGCAGTATGTAAACTAGACCATACTAGTACTAGTTTTAGATTAGAGGGTAATGTTTTATTTATTCTTGTTAAAATGGATAAAATGTGTAATTTCATTCTCTTCAAAATCCTTCTCATTATTTCAATTTTTAAGCAATAGCAAAATGAAGATCTTTACTCAAATAAAATCTTGAAATTTGAACTAATAAAAATAATCACCTTCACTTATTCTCTCACCATTTTAAAAAAATAATGTCAACCACTACCACTGGTAAAAAAACACAATACCGCCATCCAAGTATAAATACAATTAGTGTTAATAGTTTAACTGAAAATCTTTTAGCAGCACAGTCTATCCAACATTTTGATGATAATAACAATACAAGGCAATACACCTCTCAACAAAATATGCTATTCGATTCTCCAAAAAACCAAAACCTAAATGTTTCGATCATTAAAGAGAAAACTACCAATATGCCTTCATTATACGATTCAAAAAAGCAACGAAAACCCGTTGATGGATCGTGTTTTAGTCCAAAATCCTCTGGATTAGACATTAAGACAATCCTTTTTTATTTGATTTTTTTATGGGCTCTTGTTGTATTTTTATCTAGTTTATGTGGAATAGGACCTGTTGATGAAGAATTACTCTTTGTTAAGAATGCTCCTATTAATTATCATAGTGCTGTGGCTAATGAGACTATGATTAATGATGATGAAGAAGAAGAATCTCCTATTGAAGAAATTAATGCATGGGAAAGAATTACACAAAGTAGTTGGGAAACTACGACTCTTTCTTTAAATACTGACGTTGATGACAACAATAATCTCGATATCGATATTACAACTGATGAAGGTACAGTGGACCAAGAAATTGATAAAGAGAATATTGTTGAAAATGATCCGTCTATTCCTGAAAACATAATCACCACTCAAAATGAGATTGTTGATGTGAAGGCTAACCTTGAATCTTCTGATAATTCAATAAATCTAACACAGATTGGAGTAGCTAACAAACTTAAAAAAAATAAAAAAACCAGATATGAAATTGCAGGTGCTTTCAATGAGGATGATATTGTATTTGATTATTCCAACTATACATACCCCATTGTAGAACCTCATTTTACTCATATTGATGTTGTTGGGTCACTTTCAATCAAAGAGCGCAGGGAATTTGTTGCTTTACAAAGAAATATTAATGATGGTTTAGATCATTCTTGTGGATCATGGCAAGACAAATATACAACATTACACGAGAAAATTTTAAATGGAACTGCACCTCAAAGATATGTTAGTTATATATGCGAGGCTAAAATAAACTGTGGTGGATTGGCAGACCGGTAAGTAAACATATTTTAAAGATATAAAGTTCTTTTTTTTACGACTATATGCGTGTTTCATAAATTTATATCTTTGTTTAATATATACAGTATCCTCGGCATGACATCCACGTTTTTATTTGCATTACTTACAGATAGAGCATTTCTTGCAGACTGGCAAGTTCCTCTTCCACTTGATACAATTTTTGACTCATCAAATATTGACTGGAGTTATGATTCTTTTAATTCGGATTACCTTACAAAAGATCTTAATACTACCGAATTGAACATTATTGATTATAATTCAAAACATTTGGATTATCATTTCTCACTTTCTAACTGGACAACAAGATACCCAGAACCATTTATAAAATTTTATACAAACCAAGGGCTGATACAGAGAGCTTTTGATTCTAAATATTACTCATCTAAATTAAAAGAAATGGGTCTAAGACCACACACTGCATTTGGATGTTTTCTAGATTATTTATTTACACCAATTCCGCCAGCACTATCTTTTATCACACAATATACAGCTTTATTTGCGCTCCCAAATATTTTTTCTGTTGGTATTCATATACAAGTTGGAGATTCTTATGAACAATCACACCTATTACAAGACTATGGTTATTTCTTTAATTGTGCTGACCAACTTACACAAACTTATGCTGCACCAGACCAAAAGGTGATATATTATCTTGTTACAGATTCTCTTAAACTAAGAACAGAAGCATACACAAAACTTGAACATGTCATAATTTCTGGATTACAGATTGATTCCGGTCATGGTCATTATGATCAGGCAAATGGTGTAATTAATGCAATAATTGAAAATTCAATTTTGAGTAAAACAGATTATCGGGTATGTACTAAAAAAAAATGGATAGAATATTTATTGGTGGAAAGAGGCGAGTTTAAAAAATCTTATTAATATATTTATAATGAACTATAATAGGTGATATCACAAGGTAATTTTGGTAAGCTTGCAGCTTTTCACTCAAAACAACTTCACTCTACAGTATCATTATCTACAGCAGCTACAACAGGAACTAAATTTTTAGATTGTTCACGTGAGGTAAATATTTAAATCATCTTTTTTTTTGGGAAATAAAACAATTACTAATATATATGTGTATGTATTTTAAATAATTTAAATAGGATATATTTACAACTTTCAATCAATTAGCTAATGAATGGTCAATTATTTAAAAATTTCACCAATATTTAATTTTTTCTTAATGATAACAATATTTAATAGGAAATATAAATATCACACACACATATACATATATTTAAAGAAGTCATTTTAGTTATAATTTATTCTACTTATAAACAATCTAATTTATACAGAAAATATATCAAAAAAGAATAAAGAATGGGACATAATGCTTAACAAATGGAAAAAAAAATTTCTATAAAAAGGCATGATATCCAAATTACCTTGGCAGATGATCATAATTCATTTTATTAACCAAGATCGATATGAAATTAATATATATAACATTGTTGTGGAGTGATCAATTTCATTCATTAGAAAACGTTAAAGCATTAGTCAATTGTTTACGAATAATTTCAATTCTCAAGATAAGTTATTTATTATATAATGTTGATAAAACTCTTAGATTTCTTTGTTTGCATAAGTTTCCAATAAATTTTTTCTTTTTTGTCACTAATAATTCCCATTTGTGATAATGAATTCAGATAAGTCTCGTAAATAATATGATTTTCTAAGCTTTGGGAATAATGTGATGGATTATTTCTTCTGGAGTTTTATCATTATTCAACTGTACTTTCTTAAACTAGTTTGTGTTTTAATCAAATTAAGCAATAATTATCACCACCAATTTATAAAGGCTAATTTTCCCAGATGACGTGACAGCTCTGAATTATGATTAATACAGAATAATAACAGTTGTTGAATAGGGCGATAATAATATTAATAATATTCCAAAGAATCTAAATTGGCTATTTTGATTTTTGCATATTTTGTAATTAATTTTAACAAGTCATCAATTAACAAGTATTTCTCTCCTCTTATAATTTGATAATTTTCATCAATTAAAACATCATAATACATATGTAAACTCAATAAGTCGGCCAAAATTTTCACCCGATTTTCTTAATTTTAATTCGATAAGTCAGTTTACTCGATAAGTCGGTCATATGAGCTCACCCTCACATGACCGACTTATCAAGTTTACATATGTATGTATAATTAATTTACTGGCTCTCTAATAAATCTGATAAATATTTCATTAATAAGGTTAATAATAATGATGACGAAAGTTAATTGTGATAATAATAAAGTTTTCAATATTCTAAACCAACTAAATTAACGAAATTTATAGAATTTTCAACTTAAAATTGTTTTTATTTGACAGTTAAAAAAATAAATCAACAAACCAAACGTACTATTATAACAGACATAATAAAAGCAAAAATTAAATACAATAATTCTTCTTCTAACAAGTAAAAAATCTATCTCTAAAAATCACAATTAACCAAACCTTCTCTTCTATATTAGAACAAGGTGATAGTTCGGTTCGAACGGTTTTGCAATATGTCAATTTAAGTGAAGGAGCTTAGAACGTTTTTATATTGAGTTTTCACCAAAGAACCTGGTAGACGCGGAAGGGCTTCACTCCTCGTGATTTTTGTTAATGCGCTAATTCTTACCGATTACTTTCATATAATAATAAATAATAATAATAATAATTTATACTTGGGATTCCTAAAAATTTTAACGGCACCTTTAAGGTATTAACTATAATGAGACTTCTGTATTATAATCCGCCGAACTTTGCTTTTTTTCTTGAGAAGGTTGCAATAACTATTTTTATTAAACAAATTTCATTTTGGGGAAATGGCTGAATAATCACGTGTTTTCAAAGGTAAAGAGTCTAATACTAATGGTTAATATATAAAAAAAGTAAGTTGATGGAAATGAGATCCAACTTTCCTGGTTGGAGAGTCATGCGTTTCCAAACATCATCAAGTATTTATTCAGTGCACTATAACACGTTGGAAAGTGTTTATAGACATCACATTTCATTAGATAGAATTAAGCCTTGGAATTGAAAAGATTATTATTATTAATAACAATAGATGGTTATTTACTACATCGAACCAAAGAATATGAATATTTATTTTTGTCTATGGGGCCGGTGATTATTCTTTGCAATGAATTCGACATTTTTAATTTTTATTCTTATTGATATTAATATTTGATATCATTAGAAACCAGTACCGCATAGGAATAGTGCAGAATACCGCAGAAATCACGGAATACAATAATGGTAACGTGTTATCACAGAATATCAAATAATACAAAGAAGAACGAAAAATTACAATTAACACTAAATCCAGATGAGTTTTGTATTGACAATTAGATTTTATTATTATTACTATTTTTGTGACCATTCCGTTGATTGGACATAGTTGATGACCATCTTAAGAATAAAACTAGTATAAACATCAACATCAACGCCAACTTCAACAACATTTGTTGCTTCTCTTTCTTTTTCTGAATCTAAAAAACTATAATTCATGATTTTATTGAAGCCTTTGCTATAGCAGGTATCTACTTAATTTTTTTAAAAAAACATTCACAAGAAGCAACATTGCGTCAATTATATGTACCTCGCATTTTCTCATACATTTAGAAATTCTTAAAACTCTTTTTGGACAAAATCTGTTGCCACAGCATTATTATAAATAAACTACCGATGCTTGTTGAAGAAGTGTAGTTAGTATTAGTACTTCTTTTGTATACTGTAAAAATATTCACACACGTATAAAAAAAAATGATACCTCATCTTTTTCCCATGGATTCTGCTGCATATATGAAGAGTGTTATCGTGAATTTTTAAATTTGATATAAGTTTAATTACCCATCTCATTCAATGTTGCACTTCCCAAAAAGTTAGTTTAGTAAAATTTCATGGACGAAAGACTTTTCTGCAATTAGCAATATTTATTGCTCGAACGCATCGCGATTTTCGAAAATCTGTCAAGTGGACAAGCCTCTCGCACACTAATACTAACAAAGTGAAAGTAACAAATTAAAAATCATTGGATTTTTAAAAATCGTTTCCATTCGTCTTTCTTTTAAACTTTGGTTATAAAATATTTTGAACTTTGTTTCGTCCGTAAATAATACTTTTCGATTTTTTTCTTTTGTTCTTTTTGTTTACATACTTATTATAAAATTATTGCTATATACAGTGTATGCCAGTATTCTGAAATAACCTGGTCGTTTGACTATTTATTGGATTTGGAGTCATTTGGTCAAAGGATACATGATCATTTGTCATTTCAAATGGTATTCAACCCGCCGAATTGTGAAAGTATATCCGCGGATCACATCACTACATCAATAATACGCTTAGATTTGCAGCAGTATAGCATCAAGTCAGAAATTATACAGTAAAAGATATTAAATATGTCACGTAAGTCTGCCTCCAATGGAATTTCTTCTATTGATGGAAATCGTATTAGTATTAATTTATAACCAGGATCGATGTGTGTCCGTTGAAGATTCGAGATAAATAATTGATATATAGATAGTTTATATTTAAACTTAAGTTGCCAATATAAGGATTCTTTAAAAAAAACTAGAAATCTTTGTTTCTCAAATAATAGATCAAAAGAAAACTGAAAATCAGAAGTTTCTATCAATATAGATTTATATGAAGCCTATTTTTAATTGCTTTTAATATTAGACAACAAAGTCATTTAAAAGTTCAATTATGAAAATCAGCAGATTCATTTATCATTCCAATTATTCAGATTTTTTTAGCATTAATTACACCATGTCTCGCTTAGCAAACTCGCCAAAAGTTTTGATGTTTCGTAACTAACAGCACGTTTTTACTCATTAATAAATTTTGAGTTTAAAATAATTGACTTTCAAAAATCATATATTAATATAAACCAAAACCTTTATGATAAGTTCAGGAATGATCTCTATAGAATGTAGCGACAAAAAACATCCTTCGCACCAAAAAATTTCCGGTTTTTTGTTACAAGGTCTTTGTGAATTTGTAATTTTATCTGTTCAATATCGATATTTATATAATTATTATATAATTTTTTTTTTAATAGTTTGATTATAACAACTAAATAATAATACAGTAAGCTGTCTATTTATTTATTTAAATTATGTATAATGTTTTTTTATAGTTATAGTTTAAATTAAATAAAAAAATTTCATAAACGGCTACTAACACACATCTGCCAAACCAAACTTTAAAGCGTATAAAATATCTAATAGTGTATATATATATATATATATATATATATATATGAATTTGTTTAAAGTTTGCCTTGTAATATTAATTCTATGCTATTATTAATAAAATCTTTTTTATATGACATATCTCTGCCAAAAATTGTTGTGAGCTGTTCGCGTACTATTTGGAAGAGGGAGAGAGATATATATATTAATTAATAAATACACATTATAATCAATATAAATAAATGATTTAATCAATCAAAATGTGTTAGCGTACCTTGTTTCTTTGTGATGCTCATTAAATTAGCAGAATTCAAAATGGTTCTGATTTCTAACAAAATTTCATCGTCAGAAGGATTATCAGATGTTGAATAAACGGTAGATATTGTTGACATTCTATTTTCTGAAGCATATGGTGCTGGTGATCTTGATCTAGCACGATCGTTAGATGTAATCACTGTGTCACGATAATAATCACCACCAACTTGACTACCTCCATAATTACTTCCACCATAATTACTTCCACCATAATTACTTCCACCATAGTTACTTCCACCATAATTACTGCCAGTTTCATACATTCTACTGCCTTTACTACGATGTGAATAAGCTGATGCACCACTTTGTTTTGATAACCCTGATTCATGTGATTCAGCAGTGGCAACTTCCCATAGTTCTTGTTCATATTCTGACCATTTTTTCTTTGGAATCATTCCTTCATCAAATTTTTCATCATCATCTGATGTTATAATTTTTTTGCCCTTTTCACCCAACACAACACGTGTATTACCCCAACTGAAATCATCAAAATGCCAGAATGAATAAATTGGGATGAAAAATGAGAAAAGAGGATAGGCAATTAAATATATTATCATCCAACCAACATGTTGCCATTGTCTTTTCAGTATGAATATAATTGCCTGTAAACCATAGATAGCTGCTAACATTATAAGGGCTATTTCTGGTACTTTTTGTC